AAAACAGGGCTTCTCTTTGTAGGGGCTCCTCTTCTCTGCTCTGCCCTCCTGCGGGCTCCTCACCTGCTCCTGCGGCCCCTGGGAGGCGATCGGGACTGGGACAGAAGGAGGGTCGGAGGGAGGAAGTGCCTCGGGGTCCGGCCAGCGCGCACATCCCTGCATTCGGCCGTAAGGCTGGGCCTAGCTGGCTCGGCTCCCCGAGATCTCAGGTTTCCTCCTCTCCCTACCTCACCCCCTCTTGCCCCAGCCCCACAGCTCTCTGGCTGCCCTGGCTCATCTCTCTGGTTCCGATTCCCTTGACCTTGAAGAGCCCCAGCCCAGGCCGCTACTCCAGGGGAAGGAGCCCCCTGGTACCGGAAAGGAGGGGGCATCAGAAAGAAGGGAGGGGCCAAGAGAAACCGTCCAGCCAAAGATGCCCGGAAGCCACTGAACTGCCCTAGTCCAAGAATCCTTACTAAGTCATCCCCCATGGAGGTCAGCGGCTTCTTCCTGAAGACAGAGTGAATGGGGCTCCTTCGGCAGCCCTCCTCTCCCACTTGGGGACCCCCTGTGCTGGGTGGAAGGCTCCTGAGGCCACCAAGTCCAACAGCCTCAGTTTACAAAAGTGTACTTTGAACTCTGGTCTCAGTGGGCTGCCCACCATTCCCATTGCCTGCCATGGCTGGGCAGTTTTTCCTTCCACGTCTCTGAAATCATTGTCCCTGTAAACCTCCTCTCTCACATTCCTAGGTGTGTTTGGGGGGCGGGGGTCCACAGAATAGGGCTGATTCCTCATTCCCTACACATCTTTCAGATGAGGAAATTGAGACTGAAAAAGGTGAAGGGACTTAGCCAAGGTCATAGTGACAAAAAGTACATGAGCAGCACAGGGCCCTTAGGGAACCATGCTCCCCAGCCCTGTCCTGAAAGTGGCCTGGGTGGGCCAGAGGAGGCCCACGTTTGAGTCTCAGCCCTGCCATCAAGGAAAACATTTATTAAGCACCTAGCGTGTACATGACTGTGACTAGCCCCCAGAGATTAAAAGACCAAAAAAGGGAAATAGTTCCAGGATTCGAGGATTGTAGAGATGGCCCAGTTATGGGCCAACACGAGCCCTTCCCTTTTTCGGGCCTCTCAGTCCTCTGCCCCAGCCTCAGCACAGGGTTGCAGGGCGGAGGGGAGAAGGAAGACCTGGTCAGTCCCATCTAATGCCTTCTCTGCGAGTGACTGGTAGACATCCTTCTGCTCTAGTCTTTTTCTCCAGGAAGCCTGCCTAGACTTCCTGCCCATGCCTGTTTACCCCTCTCTCCTGCATTTACCAATTCAATATATATTAAAGTGGTATATAGTTTTGCTTTTCTCCCCACTAGATGCTGAGGTCCAAGAGAACCCTTCTGAATGAAAACATTCCATTCTTATTCCCAGCTCAGTACCCTGCTCTGCATGCAGTAGTCACTCAATAAGTGTTTCAGTGGTCAGATGAAGTTCTCTTCAATGGCAGGAGGTCACCTGGGCTTTGGAAGGTGATTCCAGAGGACAACAAGTAGCTCTGGCTGGTCCCACCAAGACGGAAATGCTTTGGGTGGCAATGGGCAGAGCGTCAGCCCAGCCAAGCAGGTGGCCTCCAGAGGGGTGAGGAGTTGTTCTGGTCACAACCATGAAACTTATAGGATGCAAAGGAGGGAGGGAGGAGCCCCACGCACCGCCCCACCCCCCACCCCCCCTCCCCACCAAATACACACTGAAGAGTTCATGGATCCCAGAAGTATGGCAGCAAGGTTTAAAGAAATGAGAACCTCTGTGAATGAAAGCCTGCTCCTCCCTTCCCATCCTGAAGTTCCTAAATGGGGGCTTCTAGTCTCCAGGTACAGTGTGTAGCCCACTTACCCCTAAGAGTCATGCCTTAGGAAGTGCCAAGGCAGGCACCCAAACCAGCGTTTTCTGATTGCCAATCGACAAGACTGCTATGCTGGCCAGTCCACCCCAACGCCCCCCTTATCCAGGCTTCTAGAGCTGAGGGGACCACCCTGTCATCCTGAGGCCCAGGAGGTGAAGTAACTGTCTTGAGTTGACACTGTAAGCCTAGAGGTGTGATGGAGCCCAGGTCATTCCATCCCACATTGCCTTATGGGAACGTCCGCCAGGGTTTGCATCAAAGCAGCCCCTGTTGGACTAGATGGTGTCTTCAGTCCCATCCAGCTCTGACATTCCATGCTTTAAGGGCCCTTCCAACTTGGAACCCAATAGCCTCCATCAGGCTTGACGTTTTTCATGCTACGCGAACACCATTTTGTCCATATAAAATCAGTCTCCCTTGAAAGGGAAACAATTTGCTCAATTTCTCCTCTGAAAGTCATTTTGGTTACAAATTCTGGAAAAACATAGCTGTGGTAAGACTCTAAGTGGGGAGATAGTCACAGGATAATGACATCCCGGGAGGCTTCCTCCCCCCACCGCCACTCTCCATCAGGGGGCCCTAGAGAAGCCCTCCCCACCCCCAAGTCTCCAGGGCAATGCCAGCCTATTCAGTTACCCGGAGTGTTGGAGCTGTTCACAGGACACCGGAGCACTAATACAGAATAATCCAGAAGGAAAATACTGGGGCCCTGTCGTGTCAAGGACAATCCAGCAAGTGCATCACACACTTACGAGCAGAAAGGGCTCTCCCGTTCTTCCAGCTTTGTGGGTGGGCCTGATCTCCCAAGCTTTTGCTGCTAAATGCAGAATTTGCCCACCTTCCTCCGATTTCTATCCTTTCAAAACAGACTCCCTCCTCTTCCCCCAAGTCCTCGCAACAGGGGTACTTATCTCCTGGTTTGTGATCCCTGCTCTTGACTGGAGGGGTATCATGGCATTAGGGGAAGAGAACTGATTTTAGACTCTGGATATGGGTTCAAATCCTGACCCTGCTCCTTACTTATCCTGGCATGATGGATTTGGAGGTAGAGAATGGGGGAGGGGGAGTCAGATCCCTCTCTTCCATTTACTTCCCATGTGACCTTGGGTGAATTCCTCAAACCTCAGTCTCTTCATCTGTAAAATGAAGGGTTGGACAGCTAGCCTAAGGGGTCCCTTGCAGCAAAGTGCTTCTGTTTTATCATAAGAGGTTTCCACTCCAAGGGGCTCTGCTGGTGCCCTTGGTCTGATCAAGGTTTATCCACAAGCCCAGAGGATCATTTTTGAACCTTTGCCAACATCTTCCTCTCACTTTTTGTTTCCGAAGGAGCACCCTGGTGATGATGATGGTGATGATGACGTCACCTCTGTTTAAGGGGTACAAAAGCATTTCCTCACACTCTGGGGATTATCAGTCCTTATTTTACAGATGAGGAAACTGAGGCACAGGGCATGTTGTACCTGTGTTTTATAGACAAGAATCAGCCCCAAGGTCCTTGACTCCAACTCAACGATCTACTTCCTCCCTGTAGGTCCCAAGGGCTCCTCACAAACATACATAATACAACCATACACAGAATGACTGATAATCAATGAGGAGTCAGTGGAGAAAAAACCCACAGGTCAAAAGGCCTGAGCTCTTATCGACCCATGCGTGATGCCTCTGGGCTAGTCCTTTCCTTCTCTGGGTCCAATTTCCTCATCTATGAAAGGAGAAGGTTTAATTTTGAGAATCATACCTGGAGGGAACCTGACAGTCCATAGAGACTAGTCCTCATTGTACAAAAAAGGAAGCTGAGGCTCCGAGAGGGTGACACTTCCCCGAGATCACACAGAGCAGGCATGGGAGCCAGGGTCTCAGACACACACTCCTCCCCAGGAGGTTAATGATCTCCAAAGTCCCCCAAGATCTCATGCGATCATAGTCCAGGGCAGCAGGCACCTTCTCGCCTTGAGGACCAGACACTTGGGCATTGAGATTTCGCCTATTCTCAGCAGCCAGGAAAAAGGCCCAGGGTGGGGAAGAGTGGGGCACACTGCCATAGAAGGAGACACCTGATCACCCCAGTGAGAAGTGAGAGGTGTCTCATTCCCTGCCAAGAGCCAGAGGGGGTAGAAAAGGAAGCGTATTTGTCACTAGTATCTGCCCCTCTCTGCTAGGATGCAGCTCCCTCTAACCCCTCCGAACAAACTTGGCATCACGTGGGTTAGAGCTGGTCAGGAGGACATTCAGCGTTGGCCATTTTAGAGGTGGGAAGCCTGAATCCTCAGGAAGGGAAATGTTAAAGTCAAGGTCACCGATCTTCTGACTCCAAATCCTGCTTTCTTTCCACAGTGCCATTGTTATTCATTCATTCTTCAGCATTTATTATGCACCTACTGTGTACAGTAAGGGGATTCAGGGGAAGGTGACTGGAGGTGGTGGCCCTCAAATTGCTACTTGTTTAAAGATGATGTCAATCTTCAGAAGACAACAGGACCTCCTCAGTGAGACCCAGGGCTGCTCAAAAGAAACTGGGCTGACAATCCACACGGGAAAGACTAAACGGATAAGTAATGCCCGTTGCCCAGGTAATGCCATCCAGCTGGCTGGGTGGCCCTGCAAGGTGGCCCAGCAGGAACATGATGGGCCATGTGGGAAAAAAAAGAGATGTTTGTGAAGTTTTCTGTTTCCACGGAAGTTAATGTACAAACAGGATGCCTGTGGATTAGTATATCCTGATTAGCAGGTCCTCTTCAACTACAAGTATTGACAAATCACCAAGAGCTGTTCTCGCATCTGCGCATGCTTAATTAGCTTCCCTGAGGCGTGAGAACTCGCTCTTGCTTCTGGGTCGCTGTGTGTGCTCTTTGGGAGCAACACCCCTGCTTCCTGCAAGGAACGAACTAAACGCCTTCCGCTCGCTCTGTCTTCGAGTCAAATACTTTGGTTGTCTCTGTCAGCCAGATCTGGGCTCGAAGGGAGTGCAATGGACGCCGTATGGGAAATGGGACTGATTTTTTAATGACCCAAGTTGCTGCCTCATTCAAAAATTCATCTTTATAATACTTAGAATCTCCTAGTGATGTGGGAAGGCGAATGACAGGGACCCAGAAGTCAGCAGAGAGGTCCATGGTGGGTACCAGGGCCTGTGCATGAGAATGGCTGAGAACACATCACCTGGAGGCATCAGGCTGCAGAAGGAGGTGAGTTGCTCATAGCACAGGTGATGGGCAACCCAAGGATTGCTAAACCCTTCGCTGCCTAGGGAAGGCCTCCAGGGGGTTGGGCTCCTGGGGAAGCATAGACAAGAATTATCTGCACCTGGGCAGTAATTGACCTCACCCGGCCAGGTGCCAGGGCGGTTCACCACCTGAAATGATGTGCAATCACTCACCTGCGAACAGTGTAGTCTTCCTCCAGCCCTGAGAATGGAAGCTCCCTGAAGGCAGGGCTTTGCTTGGTTTGGGTGCCTAGCCTAGACCTGGTGTGCAGAGAAGATGATTCAGTGAACTCCTGTGGACAAATCCTTCCCTTGCTCCAAAGCTCAGTTCCAACTGATGGGTCAGCCCACAGGTACTTATTAAGCCTCTGCTGTGTGCCTTGCATGGTCACTCAAGGTTTTCGGAGGCTTTCCAGTTAACAAGGGGTGGTTCTCTCAGGCCATTTGAACTCTTCTGGGAACTGCTCATTTCCTAATGTGTATCACCCATGCCTGGGTATGTCTCCCACATTCATCAAATAGGATGTTTACCACCTGCATCTCCTTCCAATGCTCTGCCCAGAGGGGGCAGTTAATGTTGGTGAAATGAACTGCAGAGAATTGAATCTACACACACAACACAGTTGGATGTTCATGGACTTTAATTTAAATTTCCACGGGCTGTCTGGGGCTTAGACCAATGAGGGGGAAAGAGAACTGAAGTCCAAGGGCCCAGAAGGCAGGAGGGAAGGCAAGTCTCCAGCCACTGTTCCCTGCCCCACATTTTACAAACTACCTTAGTCCTGGAAGGGGGTGGGAGGGAGAGGCCAGGTAAACTCCTGCTGTGCCTAAGCCCATGTGCTGCTCTTGGCCAGATACAGCTGGCTCCACAGACACAGCCCGTGGAACGTTCCTTCCTCTTTGCCAACTTGCCTCTAGGAAGCCTGGAAAGAGGCAGCCTCAGCTGGGGAGAGGAGGAAGAGGCCAGCTCTAGAGCAGAGCCTTTCTTTGGCTATGTTTCCGGTCGCAGATTTAGCAACAGAGGGGTCTGAGCCATCACTGCTGAAAGGTGGGGTGGGGGTGGGGGTGGGGGCCAGTGGCCAAGTTATGGACAGGGGTGGTGGGAGACGGGGCCAGCAGCCTCAGCTGGGGAATGGAGGGGGAAAGGTTGGTTATTGTTGACCATGAGGACAGACTGGTCATACCCATGGAGCTTTGGGGCACTTTGAGGAAGTGACCCTGACTCAGAGAAGGTGGTGGATGCTGGCTGGGTATGGCTGCCCCCTTGAGAGGCTTTTCTGGTGTGATGCTTACTGGAAGTCTCTCCTGGAATGCTGACCCCTGGGAGGACACTAAGGGAGGAGGTATGTGTGTGAGTGTCCGACTTATGCTGGGCATCATATATTCTGGGGCCAGCCTTGGTGCTTTCCTCTTGGCTGGGGGTCTGGAGTGAGTCAGGGCTGAGAACACGGCTGTCCACTGACCTGGTGCTTGCCTGTGGTTGGGCCTCACCAGACTCACACATCCGTGTGTGTGTGTGTGTGTGTGTGTGTGTGTGTGTGTGTGTGTGTGTTATAGCTTATAATTACTTGTCTATAGACATGTTATATCCCTTTGGTAGAGTATGGGCTCCATCAGGACAAGGACTGCTGGACTGTTCATTTGTCTCTACAAATCTGGCACAGTGCCAGGGTCAGGGCAAACACTTGATAAATGTTTGGTGATCAATTGATTGAGAATGTAAAAACAGTGGCTCCTAAGGACACAGAAGGCTGACGGGTCCCACGGAGAGATGGGAAGGGGCACTGAGACAGATCCCTCGGGAAAGCCCCTCCCCTGGAGAAGCCCTGCCCGGGTGGCAAGAAACCTGATGGGAGGGGGGGGAAGAAACCAGGGAGTGAGGAAATACACCCAAGAAATGGTTCTCATTCTCTCTCTCATACACATCACACGCACGTGCACGCACATATATACATACACACACACACACACACACACACACACACACACACACACACATACCCCATCAGTTACAAAGTGCCTCCACATGTGTTATTATCTCATGGGATCCTCATGGCCACCGTGGGAGGTCAGCAGGGCAGGGATTATTTGCCCTATTTAACAGATGAGGAGACTGAGGCTCAGAGAGGGTGATTTGCCCAGGGTTGCAGGGCCAGCGATGACTAGAGCAGGGACTCCAACCCTCGCCTCCTGCTCCCCAGTCCAGGGCGTCCTCCATCATACCAGGCCGCCTTTGACACATACATTCATGGCCCAAGACACGAGCCAGGTTGTCCTCCTGGTGGGGGATGGTCACACAACGCTCTGTCTATTCCCATCCCCACCATATCCTGTTGCCTTAGAGCGTCCTCGGTCAAAATTTATGAAAATCCCTTCAGAGTCAGAATCGATGGATTCCAAAATTTGGTCTACTAAGTTCTCTGGGCTGGAGGAAGGGGCCGAGACTGAGGCTGGGTCTCTGGACAGCTTGAAGGTCGGGCTGGGCTCACTGCACTGGTGGTACAGGCCTGGCAGTGGCGGCTGCCCCGCAGGATGGACCTTGGCACTGGAACGCTCAGCTTCGGCAGCCAGGGATGATTTGGGAGCCATCATGGAGACCTTGGAGCCACCGTCAAGGACAGCGGTGAGGTCAACATAGGCTGGGGCCTCGGGGCAGGACGTCATCTCGGAGACAGAATGTCTGCGGATGCCCGTGCCATTGGCCGCCAGCCCTTCTGTCTCGTACTCCGCCACGGGAGTGAGCAGTGGGTTGTTGTAACTCTTGGAGCGAACGACTGGATTCTTGGCCATGATGTCGCCTGCCTTGGAACGGCGGGAAAAGCACTTTTCTGTTGGAGGAAGAAAACTCAGGGTCACATGAGGCCAGCGAGCAAAAGAACATCTGCTACCAATTCCCAGGAGGCTAAAGTACAAAGAAGGGTTCTCTCTCCCCCCTCCTTCTGTCTCTCTCTCCCCCCTCCTTCTGTCT